ACCAGATACCAGGGCGCAGAATATCGAAGCAGATGGCCTCGCCAAATTAGCTGCTACCACCAAAAATATCAACAGGTAAAATGTGGTTACCCTCCTCAATTCCGCAATAGACCACGTCGAGGTACATTCTATAAACCTAACTTGGGACTGGCATAATTGCCTCGTAGCATATTTGAAGGATGGAACGCTCCCGCAAGATAAAAAAGAAGCCAAAAAACTACGAGTACAGGCAGCTCGATACAGTCTCGTAAATGGTGATCTCTACAAAAGAACGTTTGGCGTCCCTCTATCTAAATGTCTTGGGCCAAATCAAATAAGGCGAGTACTGGAAGAAGTACACGAAGGGCACTGCGGCGCCCACACGGGAAACTGCGCCCTCGTTTGATGCCTCATCCGCGCCGGATATTACTGGCCCACCATGAAAAACGAAACCGTGGATTATGTCAAGAGATGTGAACAGTGTCAGAAATACACCCCAATGATACATCAAGCGGGGGAACTCCTTCACTCCGTCACTTCACCATGGCCATTCATAAAGTGGGGAATGGGCATAGTCGGCCTCCTCCAAGTAGGACGAGGTAAGGTACGTTTTTGTTTGGTTTTAACTGATTACTTTTCTAAATGGGTGGAAGCATGTGCATACATCAGATACGTGAGCAAGAGGTCAACGCGTTCATATGGAAAAACGTAATATGCCATTTTGGCATCCCCAAAGAAATCAGTTGCGACAACGGACCTCAGTTCGTCGGAAAAAGAACGACTAAATTCTTCGAAAAATGGCCCATCAAATGAATACTCTCCACGCCATATCACCCTGCTGCCAATGGTCAAGCCGAATCCTCCAATAAAGTAATACTGAATATATTGAAAAAGAAGCTTGAGGATGCTAAAGGGCAATGGCCTGAACTACTACTGGAAGTATTATGGGCATGCCGCACTATGCCAAAAACCAGCACAGGTGAGATGCCATATTCACTGGTCTATGGGACTGACACAGTTATACCCATCGAGGTCGGGGAACCCAGTTTGAGATACTCCAATAAGAGCGGACCAAGCAATGACGAAAATAGGCTACAAGACCTAGATGAAGTTGAAGAACGGAGAGACATGGCCCACATAAGAATGGTAACCCAGAAGCAGCAAGTGGACAGGTACTACAACAAGAGGGCCAAGGTGCGACCGCTCAAAGACGGAGATTACATCCTCAAGGCTAAAACACAAGCAGCAAAAAGACCCTACTGAGGGAAAACTAGGAACTAACTGGGATGGACCGTACAAAATCACAACCACAAAAAACAAAGGAGCATTCCAGTTAGAAACAATGGAAGGAAAACTACTCCAAAACAATTGGAATGTCGCTCATCTCCAGTACTTCCATTTCTAAAAGAAGGCGTCACCTAAGTCGTACTCTTTTTCCCTTACCCAGGTTTTGTCACAATCAGGTATTCCCGAGAAGGTTTTTAATGAGGCGGCAAGGGAGACGCCTCGAGGATCGAAGTGTTGATCATTACCCCAACCCATCGACATGGTCTCCGTGGCGAAGTAATGAAGGGACTGGATATAGATAATCATCTCCATTATATGTACATAATCAAATCTCCATTGTATGTACAGAATCAAATCTCCATTGTATGTGCAGAATCAAATCTCCATTGTATGTGCAGAATCAAATCTCCATTGTATGTGCAGAATCAAATCTCCATTAGTTGACATGTGATCCTTGCAAGTATACAATCAAACATCCATTGCATGAATAAAATCAACATGTCTTCCTACAGGAATATGATCAAATCTCCAAGTAATGTCCAAGGCCATCGACAAAAACATGAGTTTGACAAAGCTCGAACTACGACGGGACCCTACTTCGATGACATTTCAAAGCAACATCCCAATGGCCAAGGACATCGATAAAAACATGAGTTCGACAAAGCACAAACTACGACGGGATCCTACTTCGATGACAGTTCAAAGCAACATCCCAATGGCCAAGGCCATCGACAAAAACATGAGTTTGACAAAGCTCGAACTACGACGGGATCCTACTTTGACGATAGTTCGAAGCAACAACCCAATAGCCAAGGCCATCGATAAAAACATGAGTTTGACAAAGCTCGAACTACGACGGGATCCTTCTTCGACAACAGTTCGAAGAAACATCCCAATGTCCAAGGCCATCGATAAAAACATGAGTTCAACAAAGCTCAAACTACGATGGGATCCTACTTCGACGACAGTACGAAGCAACATCCCAATGGCCAAGTCCATCGACAAAAACATGAGTTCGACAAAGCTCGAACTATGACGGGATCTACTTCGACGACAGTTCGAAGCAACATCCCAATGGCTAAGGCCATCGAAAAAAACATAAGTTCGACAAAGCTCGAATTACGATGAGATCCTACTTCGATGATAGTTCGAAGCAATATCCCAATGGCCACTGCCATCGATAAAACAGGAGTTCGACAAAGCTCGAACTACGACAAGATCCTACTTCGACGACAGTTCGAAGCGACATGCCAATGGCCAAGGCCATTGACAAAAACATGAGTTCGACACAGCTCGAACTACGATGGGATCCTACTTCGACGATAGTTCAAACAAAAATACAAATGGCCAAGGCCATCGATAAAAACATGAATTCGACAAAGCTCAAACTACGATGGGATTCTACTTCGACGACAGTTCGAAGCAACATCCAAATGGCCAAGGCCATTGACAAAAACATGAGTTCGACAAAGCTCGAACTACGACGGGATCCCACTTCGACGACAGTTCGAAGCAATATCCCGCCAAGAACATCGACAAAAACATGAGTTCGACAAAGCTCAAACTACGACGGGATCCCAATTCGATGACAGTTCGAAGCAACATCCCAATGGCCAAGGCCATCGACTAAAACATGAGTTCGACAAAGCTCGAACTACGACGGGATCCTACTTCGAAGACAGTTCGAAGCAACTTCCCAATGGCCAAGGCCATCAAAACAAACATGAGTTCGACCTCATTCGAACTATGACGAGATACTACTTCAACGACAGTCCGAAGCAACATCCCAATGGACAAGGCCATCGACAGGTACCCCGAATACCAGACATTGCAAAGAAGAGCAAATCAACAAATATATTTTACATTGCATAAAAATTTTATTTACACTTTTTTTACAAACGGGCTCAAGTACGCCCTCTGCAAAAATCCCAAAACAAAAGCAAAGTACAAACAAAGACTGCACATCGTCTCCGGTGGGGTAAGCATCTTTTTACCATGAGTCCGAAGCAAGACGGTTCGCATCATCAGAATTGATGTCATCCCCATCAGGAGTAAGAGGGTCGTACCCGCAAGCCTCATGACCTGCATGAGCTTCGGTGTGCACGACCTAAAGCTCTGCCTCAGTTGCCCTTCCCTTGGTGTGAAAAGCCTTGTACACGTCAAGTCGTGACTCAGCATGGACCCACAACTCATATAAACGATGAGGAACGACTGGATCGGCTGAGGCACGAGACGTAGAAGGCTGAGAATGTCGACTTGCATCCTCCACCCTTAGCAAGGCCACTTGTCCATTTAATGCAGCCAGCTCCTCCTCCAGTTCTTTGACACGTCCCTCGAGCCTCGCAATCTTATGACTAGAGGCTTCCTTCCCTTTATCCAGCTCCGACTTACAAACGCGAAGGGTATTCTTTAAAGATGCAGCTCCAGAAATAGCTGCTACCAACTTATCAGTACCAACGCTCAGCTTGCCCTTAAGCCCCTCTACCTCCACCACCTTCACATTCAACTCAGTGGTCAAATTGGCCACCTTTGCCTGCAAGTCGGCATTTTCGTCCATCACCCCGCACTAAACTCAAGCTCGTCGTCCTTCACCTTTAGGGAAGACTTGAGTTCACTATTACGAGCGACAGTTTTCATGATCTCCTCATCCCGCTCCCTCAACTCTTTGATCTTATGCTCTAATTGGTCCTCCGGCTGTTTGAGCCCCTCGCGAAATAACTAAAACTCAGGGTCTTGATGATAAATGTCGGCCATTGCACGGTTCTTAGCATGATACTATTGATATTTGGATAACATCTTCTCATAAAGGCCCGTCTTCCTCCTCTCCTGACGCTCTCGCTCAATCTCCATGATAAGGGTCTGGCAAAAAAGGAGAAGTTAGAAAAAAAATGTAGAACGACGATCATCACACAAATCTAACGACAAAAAGAGAAGAAAATATACCTACCTGCAGGGCCATACCAGCGACCTTCTGAGACAACTCCATATCGCTCATCGCTCTAAGCACCTCATTTTTAGGAGCAGCACATAGAGGAGCTAGGGCAGAAGCCACTTGCTCGCAGTTCAGCAGCAAGTTGTAGTCCCCTATATGACGATCAGACCCTTCCGTTCTGACCTCTACATAGGTATGGCCCCCTACGAACTCATTGACATCCTCTAGGTCGACATCTGAACCTGAGCCGTCACCCTCAACATGACGTCCTCCAACATTGGATGATGCACCACCCTCAGCAGAGCGCACTAAGCTAGCTCCTAGGTAAACACCTTCCACTTTGGGAGATCTCCCCGACAAAATGACGTCAGCCATAAATACGGGCACCGGGGCTGTCTGTGATGCCCTGCTTCTATCAGCATCTATGGCCACATCCTTCCCAAGTTCCAGCCTCCTCATTTTTCTCAACAATGGCTCGTCCTCATTAGAGGATTCGTCCAAAGGGTGGGAGGTCAGCACCGAAGAAGCCTCATCCCTCACGACCATGACTCGAGATGGACCTACTAATTGAATAGGTTGAGTACAACCCTCTCAAACGAATTCACTCAAAACAAACTACGTGCCCGCAGAAGCAATGGCTTGTCGAAATGCAGGGACTAGCGCCCTTTGCCTGGAAGCTCCTCGACTTGTCATCATGAAGGGTCGTATCAGTAAATAAGGTCATATGACCAACGTAATAGTAAGGAAAACATTTACCAGAGGGTGCTTTAGGGCCGTAACGCTTCATGAAGGCGGGCCAATCTCAAGTTTCTGCTGCATCAGGCAACAGACGGGCTACCCAATCCCTGATATCCGCAATAGGGCAAGGTGGACGTCCCATAGCTGCAGACGGGAAAAGAACAAACTTTATAATGAATACAGAGGAAAAAAGAGTAAAATGAGTGGCGACACTTACGAGCTTCATTCCATCGCTCCGGGAACCTGGCGGAGTCAGAAACGACATGTTCGATTTTGACGAAGAAATNTATATATATATATATCCTAGGCCAACAAGGCTGCAACAACAGTATAACAGCTATCCAGAAGGCCGATAGGGCCATACAAAGAAATATATATATGCAATGACCGCTAGTCTGCAAGCCACTAAGAGTGTAAGATAATCTTAACAGGGCGGGACAAAGCGCCCGACATGCCCAAAACTACACATATACATCTGTAATAGTACCTATGAACTCAAAGTCAGCAACTCTGAAGAAGTGGAGTGCAAAACCCCATGCTGATCCTGGGGTCCTACTGAGGAGGCACGCCGCTCTGTCTATCCGAACATGTGGGCATGAACACAATGCATAAAAAGGCGTTAGTACGAAATATGTACTGAATATGTAGGGCGACAAGTGTAACATGAAAAATGTAATTAACAAGAGAAGAGATATAAAGACAATTTGAATTCTAGAACTAGCCTCGATAGGTAACTAAAATTCAACATGGATATAAATGTATGCTCGTGGAGTCGTCGCTCACTATTGCTACTTATAATATATCACATTATATAATAATAAATCCCTCTATGGGGCTATAATATCCATAACATACCTGGCCATAATAAAGGCTAAGTAGAATCATACCCGGCCACGTGAAGCTCGGTAATCCCAACTGATCAGTGGTTACACAATATGTGTCATACCCGGCCGTCTATAGTGCGGCTCGATAATGAAAGTAAATACATACATATATTAAATCATGAATTATATAAGTGCAATAAGAAACTAACCTTAAAAGACGTATTCTAAGAAGAGTCGAAGTGGCCTATCATCATTATTCCCTGATTATCATGGTTGTCGCTAAAATATTTAATTTTCAACTACGAGCCAACAAGTATTAAGAACATGAGAGTTATGTATTATGAGTACCTTTGAAGTAAGTGTTACTTATTCAAGATTTATATGGATGTCGAAAGGAGAACGAGTAAAAAGGCTCTAGTTCTTTTTAAGCAAGGAACAAGGAAAACTGAGAATTCATAGATACTCTATGAAGTAAGCAATCTATGAGAAAGGATAAGGTCTAAGCATCTTTATAAGTTGAAGGTGAAATAACTCGAATCCGATGAAACAATTCGATAAACGTTTATTCGAATTCTAGTCATGCCGAAAAGTATAGCGAAAGTCCTACATACCTTGTCGATGGAGTTGTATAGGATTTTCGAGACCTCGAAAGCCTTAAGAATGATTTCCTACATAATACAAACCATTTAATATCAAATTCAAGCTCATATGTTACATAATTCTTCATTTAGACATTTACGCGAACAACTTGCGGCCATGAATTTGTAGACTCTTTTGTAGTTTAATTTCCTCCCCCAGCGCACCACCAAATTTTTAATTTACTACATCTCCTCATCGACACGATTCCATCCATGTCTTCGAGATCCAAACAACACAATAAAACCATATAGAACAGCCCCAACAATCAAGTCATATTAAGAGAGGTTTCTTAAAAAATCAAGAATGTTTCTATAGAGGTTTCAACTATTTCTTAGGAATTCTTATGGTAGAAGTTTACAAAGATAAAATAAGAAGTTAAATCATACCTTATGTGACCAGAATTACTTTAAATTCGAGATTATTTCAAGGCGGAGTCTTCTTACGAAAAGTGAAACACCGAAGAATTCACGATTCCGAAGTTACTATGGTGTACTCCTTATTGAGGATGACTAAATTATTGTTATGATTGGCTAGATGGATGGGAGGAGTTTGAGAGGAAATCCCTATGTTTTAGGTTCTGTTTTGGAGAGGATAAAACATAGGGGGTCTGTTTTAAAACTGACTTAAATATAAAAAATTAACCAAAACCGACTAAGCACATTGTTCCCATAACAGTGTGCACCCCTGTACAAAAATATTAATATCTCTCTACTGCAAAGTCGTATTAACAAACGGTTTGTTGAGTTGAAAACTAGACTCATAGTCCTTCGATTCGGTGGGTAGAAAACACCATAACTCCTAGTATATTGAGAGAAAAGCTCATCAACATTTTATCCAAATTTCAGTGAAATTTAAAACCCATAACTTGCGGTGATCTTTGTCGAATTTTTAATCACAACTCGAATGATTTCCAATATTAACGTATAACTATCGCATCATTTGAATATCTCAAAGAAATTATCTTCCTATCGAATTAGCCCCTTTATGGCATGATAACGCGGAATACACAAGGTGTAACATTCTCCCCTCCTTAAGAACATTCGTCCTCGAATGTTAGCGGTTAACCTAACGTCTGAAATTTTTATTTTTTTTTAAAATTTCGCCAGAGTTTCCCCTGTAAATAGGACTATACAAAACCTTTCATCAGCCCAAACATACATATCTAAGGCCACACAGGGCTACACATCATCATAATAACATCAACTTGGCCCCACACGACCGTTTACTTATACAATAATGATAATAAGAAGGCTAACCATAACTTAATTACCTCAACTATCACTGGTTGATATCTGTGCAACACCTGCCATATTTGTCTCAAGCATATCACCTGAAGACTTAAATAAATGAGGGTATCTGGACTTCATGTCCTCCTCGACCTCCCATGTCATTTTCTCTACATTATTGTTCCTCTAAAGTACTTTTACTGAGGCTACCTCTTTAGTCCGTAGCTTACGGATTTGACGGTCAAGAATGGCAACAGGTATTTCTTCATATGACAAGTCCTCGGTAAGTTGAATATCCTCAATAGGTCTGATGCAAGAAGGATCACCTAAGAATTTGCAAAGCATGGAAACGTGATATACCGGATAGATTACGTCTAATTCCGGTGGCAAGTCAAGTTTGTAGGCTACTTGCCCAATTCTCTGAACAATCTGATATGGCCCGACATATCTAGGGCTTAGTTTTCCCTTCTTGCCAAATCTCATTACACCCTTCATAGGTGACACTTTTAAGAATACCCAGTCTCCCACAGCAAATTCCAAATCTCGACGTCGGTTATCTGAGTATGATTTCTGTCGACTTTGAGCTGTACGCAACCTTTCCTGGATCAACTTTACCTTTTCTACAACTTGTTGTACCAATTTGGTTCCTAGCAACTTTGTCTCGCCAACATCAAACCAGCCAATAGGAGATCTGCATTTCCTCCCATATAGTGCCTCATAGGGTGCCATCTGAATACCGGTGTGATAACTGTTATTGTAGGCAAACTCAATAAGCGATAAATGATCATCCCAACTTCCCTTGAAGTCTAAGACACAAGCTCGCAACATATCTTCGAGCGTCTAAATAGTGCGTTCGGCTTGTCCATCGGTCTGCGGATGAAATGTTGTACTAAGGTTAACAAGAGTACCCAAGCATTTTTTGAAAAGACCTCCAGAAATTAGCTGTAAATTGGGCACCTCTATCAGATATAATAGAAAGTGAAACTCCATGTAGCCAAACTATTTCCTTGATATACAGTCTCACATAGTCTTTAACTGAATATGTGGTCCTAACTGGGAAAAAGTGAGCTGATTTCATCAGCCTATCCATAATGACCCAAATAGAATCGAACTTCCAGCGAGAATTGGGCAATCATGTAATGAAAACCATATTAATCGATTCCCATTTCCAAGCTGGAATCTCAATATTTTGAAGTAGCCCTCCAGGTTTCTAGTGTTCAGTTTTAACCTGCTGGTAGTTGGGACACTGAGCCACAAATATGGCTATATCTTTCTTCATGCCATTCCACCAGTATAGCTGACGAAGATCATGATACATTTTGGTTGAACCAAGATGAACTGAGTACCGAGACTGGTGCATCTCTGTCATAATTTGCTTACGAAGCTCCCCAACATTAGGTACACACCATCGGCCTTTATATTTTAGAATTCCATCATCAGATTGCTCGAACAACTGCTTCTTCTGAAAAGGGATGCTCTCTTTAATCTTTACTAGCTCCGGATCCTTAAATTGACGTATTTCTACCTCAGCTACCAGTGATGACCCAATAATATTTTGGACTACTACACCCTGGTCACCTGTATCATGTAGCCGCACACTTAGGTTAGCCAATCGATATAGCTCCTTAGTCATTTCTAATTTCCCAACTTCTACATGCTTCAAGCTGCCCATAGATTTGCGACTCAACGCATCAACTACCACATTTGCTTTGCCCAGATGGTACAAAATATCCACATCATAGTCCTTCAGCAATTCAAGACATCTCATTTGTCTCAAGTTCAACTCTTTCTGCTTAAATATATATTGTAAACTTTTGTGATCTGTATAGATATCCACATGAACACCATAAAGATAATGACGCCATATTTTCAAGGCAAGTATAATGGCTGCTAACTCAATATCATGAGTCAGATAATTGTGTTCGTACTTCCGCAACTGCCTCGAAGCATATGCAATAACTTTGCCATGCTGCATTAGAACACATCTCAATCCAACCCTAGATGCATCACAATATACCACATAACCTTCATATCCCTCAAGAAGTGCTAGAACAGGTGCTGATGTTAAGCGTTTCTTCAACTCATGATAGCTCCTTTCACATGCATCAGACCATTGGAACTTAACGGCTTTGTGTGTCAATTTTGTCATGGTAGCAGCAATAGAAGAGAAATTCTCCACAAATCTCCGATAATACCAGCTAAGCCCAAGAAACTACGAACTTCTGTAGGAGTTGTGGGTCTAGCCAATTTTGTACTGCTTTAATTTTCTGACCATCTACCTTAATATCTTCATCGGAAACGATATGCCTAATGAAAGCCACTGAATTCAACCAAAATTCACATTTGGGGAATTTAGCATATAATTTCTCATTTTTCAAAGTCTGCAACACCACACGCAAATGATCCCCATGTTCTACTTCTGATCGAGAATATACCAGAATATCATCAATGAAAACAATTACAAATATATCTAGAAATGGCTTGAAAACCCAATTCATTAAATCCATTAAAGCTGCTGGTGCATTAGTAAGACCAAAAGACATCTCAAGGAATTCATAATGGCCATATCTAGTCCGAAAAGCCATTTTTGGAATATCTCTCTCCTTAACTCGCAACTGATTATAGCCGGATCGGAGGTCAATCTTTGAGAAATACTTGGCACCTTATAACTGATCAAACAAATCATCAATTCTGGGTAAGAGGTACTTGTTCTTGATAGTCACTTTGTTGAGCTGATGATAGTCAATACACATTCTTAACAAACCGTCCTTCTTACGAACAAACAGCACTGGTCCACCCCAGGGAAAAGTATTGGGCCTGATAAAGCCCTTATTCAGAATATCCTTCAGCTGGGCTTTCAATTATTTCGACTCAGTAGGAGCCATTATGTATGGAGGAATAGATATTGGCTGAGTATCTGGAAGCACATCAATAGCAAAGTCGATTTCTCTTTCGGGGGGAAACCAGGAAGTTCATCAGGAAATACATCGTGAAATTCATTCATGACGAGAACCGATTGGAGGATTGGAGATTTCACCTCCATATCATGCACTCGTACCAAATGATAGATGTAGCCCTTCAAAATCATCCTTCGAGCTTTAAGGTAAGAAATAAACTTCCCCTTAGGAGCTACAACATCACCTTTTCATTCAATAATAGGATCACCTGGAAAATTAAAACGAACAATCTTTGTCCAGCAATATACATTGGCATAACAAGAAGCCAACCAATCCATACCCATAATGATATCAAAGTCAACGATTTCTAGCTCATGTAAATTAGCTAACGTATGGCGGTCATGAATCTTCACGTCACAACTTCGATATACCCGTCTAACTAGAACAGACTCACCCATTAGTGTAGATACCTCAAATGACTTATGCAACAATTCAGGCTCTCTATCCCATTTACTAGCAACAAAGGGGGAAATATACGAAAATGTAGAACCAAGATCTATCAAGGCATACATATCGATAGAAAAGACGGATAATATACTTGTAACCACGTCCGGAGATGACTCTAAATCCTGACGACTCGATAAAGCATATATGCGATTCTGCTGACCTCCTGAACCAGAAGCTCTAAATCTTCCCCTACCCCTGCCAACTGATGTATGCATACTCTGCCTAGGAGGACGTACCGAAGAAGAAGAAGCCCCTGCAGATGCCGTCGGCTAAGCCATACCTCCACCTGTCATCGGACAATGTCTCATAATATGACCTGGTTGTCCACATGAATAACATGCATCAGAACCCTGGCGACATGGTCCAAAATGATTTAGGCCATATCTATCACATCTAGAAAACTGAGGCCTCATCTGACTGAACTCGCCTCTAAACTGTGGACCTGGGGTCCGTGAACTCTGACCTGGACCAAAATAAGTGGTTCGATCATGTCGCTGTCCCTGAAACTGTGGTGGCGCACTGGCTACCGGATAAGAAGGACGCCTAGGAAACTGTGGCCTAAATCTACCTCGAAACTCTCTTGTATTACCTGCGAACCGCGCCCTATTCTGCTGGCCTCTATCATGCTCTCGATTGGCTCATTGTTGCCTTTTGCGATCCTCTAGACCCTGTGCATATGCTTGAATACAGGCAATATCCATTCCTTGGTTTAGAGAAACTGTAGTGCACTCATTTATCAAGTGTGCCCCCAAACCACTAACAAACTGGTCTACCCAATCACTCATATCAGCAACAATCGTAGGAGCATACCTTGCCAAAGAGTTGAACTACATGCTATATTCCCGAACTCTCATATTAACCTGTTCTAAGTGTACGAACCTATCTCGTCGGGATCTTCGAAGCTCAATTGGAAAATATTGCTGAAAAAATGCCTCAGAGAACTCCTTCCATGTCATTGGTGGCACATTAGGCCCCCGAGTCTGCTTCCAAGTCTCATACCATGTCACAACAATATCACGTATTCTATAAGAAGTAAACTCTACTGACTCAACATCTGTGGCATGTATAATTTGTAAGGTCCGTTGCATAAGATCTAGAAAATCATGTGGGTCAGTATTAGGATCAACCCCTGTAAATACTGGAGGATCCAAGTTGATAAAGTCCCGAACTCTCGCACTCACAAACCTATCAACAATACCGATGGTCTGGTGTTGGGACTGGGAGGTCACTATTAGAGTCAGCAATTGTACAGAACTCCGCATGTCTAGGTCCTAATCAGAAACAACTAGGAGAGGGACTGGAGGTATGTTAGCTCCTCTACGCCCTTCCGGGGATGGTGGGGGTGCTGCCCCAGAAGCCTGAGAATCAACCTCATTCTGTGGCTCATGTTGATCTACATTAGTAGGTGGCACCTGACTTGTGCCCTTTCCCGCCTCCTCATCCAACCTCTGAATAAATTTCATAGCCATTTGTCGTCTCGTAGTATTAGGCATCTAAACAAAAAGAGTATTAGGAATGAACCATTATGATTAGGCTCTATTGCACAATCTAAATCAAAAAGAAAATAATAATCCTACATGCCCAATAGCCTCATGTTTATAAGTGTGGTGCACAACATACCATAAACAATACTCTACTAGACACGGCTTGCAGACTCCCTAGGACTGACCTGATCTGATACCAAGTTTGTCATACCCCAATCTTGGGAGGTATGGCTGGCACCCGATGCCCGAAGGCCCGAGCGAACCAACCATGAGATATGATCTGAAATATAATAACCTGTAGGCAGAAGAGCCCAAAACGACATATATATATATATATATATATGATCTAGGCCAACAAGGCTGCAACAACAGTATAACAGCTATCTAGAAGGCCGATGAGGCCACACACAATATATATATATATGCAATGACCGCTAGTCTGCAAGCCTCTAAGAGTGTAAGATAATCTGAACAGGACGAGACAAAACCCCCGACATGCCTAAAATTACACATATACATCTGTAATAGTACCTATGGACTCAAAGTCAGCAACTCCGAAGAAGTGGAGTGCGAAACCCAATGCTGATCCTGGGGTCCTACTGAGGAGGCACACCGCTCTGTCTATCCAAACCTGTGGGCATGAACACATCGAATAAAAAAGCATCAGTATGAAATATGTACTGAATATGTAGGGCGACAAGTGTAACATGAAAAATGTAATTAACAAGAGAAGAGATATAGAGACAATTTGAATTTTGAAACTAGCCTCGATAGGAAACTAAAATTCAACATGGATTTAAATATATGCTCGTGGAATCGTCGCTCACTATCGCTACTTATA